TTAGTAAATACTAAGTCATTAAAATAAATTTGAATTCAAATAAATGACATGTAATTCGTTAAACCTATTAGAAATGTGCTATAGTATAAAATCTTGAAGCGTAACAGCACGACTGAGACTCATTTTTCAATGAGTAACTAATAACATTAATAAAACAAAAATTTCGTGAAATAAATCAAAAATCGTCAAATAAATTCGTAATATATAAATTCGTGAATAAAAGCGCTTTCGACAAAATACTAAAATAGAGATATATCGACAAAGACTACTCACGTCTGCCTAGCTGAGATTGCCGCAACTGATGCTTTTTCAGTTTATTTCAGTTTCCGTTTTTAAAAGCGCTGCATGTTGAGTCACCTTAGCTAGATTTGGCATGTGACATTTTTAGCAGCAATCATTGGTCGATTTTCTAGCGTTGCCATTCGGGGAGTTGAAATGAGGCTTTTTTTGTCGCCGTGTAAGAGAAATATATATATAGATGTTACATTAGCACTACTGTTGTTTTATGTTAGCACTATTGTTATGCTTTTCTTTTCATATCAGATTTACAGAATACATACATTTACATAACATAGCAAGTTTTGAGAAAACGCTGACTTACTCCTCTGTGAAAGTCTTACATAAATTACGTTTAGGAACTGTGTTCCTTAAAACGTTATGTTGTAAAGAATTTACCAAAAATAATATCTTGGTAATTTTATCTATAGTCTCTCATTGTTCAATTCATCTTTACTTCTTAATTGAAATCATTAAGGTATTAAATGTTACTTTAAAATAATTTATTATAAGAATTTTTTTATGCATGATATCTTAACAACATGCCATAGAAAGCATTTATTCGATAAAATTTCCTTTTTAGTTTTGTATTTTTTATTAAACGTGTGGTAATAAAAACTAAAAACTTGAAAACCAGAATTGAACGTATACCGTTACCATACATACAGAAAAACTATCAAATAAATGGTTTAAATACCATATATTTTTGTTTCATTAATCAGAATAATATATATATATATATATATATTTTACCCGAAATGTTATAACCATATAATACAGTAATTTTACCAGGCATTTTTTCCCGTGTCGGTACACAGTGGCTCGGAAACCATTTAAATAAATTTAAAATTTTTAGAAATCTCTATAATAGATAAATCTCTGTGTCATGACAAGCTAATAAACAACAAATTTGAGCGATAGATTTTAAATATTTTATGAATTTTATATGGTTAAAATGAATAAATTTGAGCTATTGAAAAAAATGCTTTGAACGAGTTTCATTTTTCTAAACGAAAAGCACAATTAAAGAATAGTGCTGCCATCTGGTAATTATGATAAGGGATTAAATTTTACTTTGGAAACTTTGGTTTCATGTATTCAACACAGTGCATTTCGAAACAATTTTTTTAAAGAGTGCGGTTTTGATGGTCGTGCCACCATGCGTGAAAGTGTTTTAAAGTTAAACTTGAAGACATGAGCATTTTGGAACACCACTAGTCTCTCTTCATGGCGCACACCTTAATGAACCACTGTAATAGATCATAAAAAATATAATAATTACCTTGTAAAAGCGACGTATTATCGTAAACTTCTTTAAATACTGAATGTTATACGTTTATTAAATGGAAAAAGATAAACTAATACGTTTTAATATAATACGTTTTAATAAAACGTATATATACGTTTATATATACGTTTTAATAAAATATATTTCTCTTAATGAATTGTTTATTTAAAATCAGTTTGAAACCTGTTTATTTTTTCATTCATTTTATAGATTGTAATTGTGGCGTGAACTCTTTGGCTTGTATGTTCGATAGTAAGGGAAGAAAACTGTGTGGTTGCAAACCAGGATATTTTCAAAGAAATGGAACATGTTCTGGTAAGAGAAAAAAAAATTAATCATGCATCATAGCATTTATTTAGTTACTTTTTTTACGTTTCCTAAAAAAAAAATAAGATATTAAACTAAAATATGATATTTGTTTCACTAAATTTGTTTGTATGAAACGCATTAAAATTACGAAAGAGCCAAGTTTACTTTTTGTTAGATGTTTTCGGAAAATGATATTAAAAGTTCTTATCATTTACTATAGTTTTATTAACTCTCCTTGATATTTTTGTGTAATTCAGTAACTTTCCGACTAGTTAGAATATTTTAATCTCTGCTATAGCTTTGCGCCCTGATAACGATACAAACTTAAATCGCTTCCAAACCATTAAAATTTTATACGACTTTTTGGAGTTTTCAAATTTTAGAAGGAGTTCTATGTCTTATGGTAATCTAATTTACAAATATTTTAAAACAATAAAAATTCCTGAAAAAGCTATCCCCGTTTTATAGCACCGCTTTCTTCGACAAATTAATGCAAACAGACACAAAATTGCAAATGAAGACAACAATTTAAAAACTACGTTATTCAAGTTTCGAAAAAAGTAAAAAAAAAATTATTTTAATTCTGTCAGCTCTCAAACAGAAAATATTGGAGCATCACTTACGTCATAAAAGTTTCTTTAACCACAAAAAATTCCTACACGTCTGTCGAAAGTGATGTGCACAACGTCTTAGAACTCAAAAAATATAATTTTCTCCTAAGATCAAATTAAGAACCAGAGTTTTTGAAGTTTTTATTATGTTTCATTATTTAAAAAATAATAATTTACTGTATTTAGCCCTAAGTACGCTGAAATATGGGTGTAAATAAATATGAATGTTCGTAATAAAGAAAATAATCCTGTTATGGCAACAGAAAAAGGTCAGCTAAGAAAAATACGATAAAGCAACAATAACATATTCTGTAAGTATAAAGACACTTAAAGTTTTATATTTATGTGTATACTTTAAATATTTATTGGAAAGCTTTTGTGAGAATCTAAATCTTTGAAATGTTCTCAAATATGCTGTACTAAATGCTTGATTTTATAATTAAAAACAGAGAATAGGCTACCGGCTGAGAAAAATTCGCTTTAAAATTTAAAGAAATGCTGTACCTAAAAATATTTTTAAAATAGTTCTACGTTTTTTCAAATCATGAATTTTTAATTTCATTAATATCGTTTACACGATTAGTGCTTTTCGATCACTTGATGGAAAACGTGATTCTGATTACTGGTCCCTTCAAGTAATGCCTTATAACTTGCAACCGGTTCATTGAAAAAGCTTGTTATGAAAATACAAATTCGTAAAAACTTAAGATTCTATTTACTTTCAACTTTTTCTCAAATTTGTTTGCAATAGGTTATCACTTTTAAACAAACTTTAAACATTCATCTTTAGTAATTAAAATGTCAATCATAAATGATCGATAAAAATGTAATTTTTTTTCCTTCTTATTTTTAGAAATGTGCACAAATGATAACGACTGTCAAAATGAAGGGGTTTGTGAATTCCAGAACAATGGATACTTTTGTAAATGTAAATTTCCTTTCAAGGGTGATACATGTGAAATCAACGATGCATGCGAGCATTTAAGTGGCACTTGTCGTACTATTGGTGCGATTTGTCAGTACGTTGAATTTTTAAGAAAAGGCGTTTGTGTATGTCCACCAAACAGATATTTCGATGACAAATCAAATATGTGTGAAGGTATATATTCTATATTTATAATAGGAAGATTAAAAAAAATGCAATATCTTAAATCGTTTAGTTTTAGTGCAGAAAAGTTGCTATATACAATTTTACACCTTTAAATTAATATCTTCTACCCCCTTAATGAACTAAAAAATGTAGAAATGTGGCTAAATTTCTCAAATGGTCTATTCCATTGGTTCACTAAAAGAGCAATTCAAAACTTTCAATTTCGCTGCCTTAATAACTTACATAAACTTAAGTAAGATGACAGAAGGAATTCAATTACAAATCTTAAATTGGAATAATCTTGGAATTTAAAATCTTGTGTTGCCATTCTTGCCAAGTAATAGTAACATCTAAGTATTACTGGCAAGTCAGTTAACAAAGTTTGGGATTTTTTGGAGAAGGACAGGAGAAACTGTAATAACTAAAAAGTACAAAAAGAATAGGGGTGAAAATTACAAACTTGTTTAAGTATTGTGAGAAGTACATTGAATTATTTTTGTGGTAATGCGCTAAGTTTGATGTTGTTATTGTTTCTAGTGACACATGGACAAGCAAAGCTTGCTAGTCATTGGCGCTTTTTGAATTAAGTCAGGAAGGTTCGACTTTCATTTGACAAGGAAGTGAGTTGGAATCAAATGAGGAGTTAAGCAGTATTTGAGGTGTAGGATGCAATTAAAAAAGTCTTAATTTTGAAGTTATGGTAAAATATAACATACATTAAAATTGGTAAATCACAAGCACTACTTGAAAAATTTACTTATTACATGGATACACTAATACGATATGAGGTGCATTGTTTAAATCTAGAACTCTTATATGAGGGAAAATGTACATAAGTTTTTATATAATGACCATGAGATGTTTATTTACATGGAAAATTTAGAGAAGTCTTTATGAT